ACGAGCCCTTTATACTACATTAACAAAGGCACGAGGGGTTGGTTGCACTCGATTGGGAAACCGATCCGCATAAATGCGTGATGCCGCGTAAATAAGAATCATGTCCACAAGTTCAGCATTTTCGTAAACATGTGCCATTTTTGATTTCGTTTGAGCCAGGCAACAGACACCACTATTCACTCACGCGTTACCGACTGACACTGACTATACAACTGAATAAAATAATTGTAAAAACATCGTTCCAAATTCTTTCGTTTTGTTTCCGATGCGATGAACCGATAAGGCGGGTTATATCCGTTGTTGCCAAACACGAGCACATAATATTATTATTGAGACAGGGCGGTACTCAAACTTCCAAAGGGCTATAACTTTGTTACTTTAATTTTACCAGAAAAATGGTAAAGGAAAAAAACATTTCTTTTGATCAGATCTACTCACTGTTAAAATAAATGACTCAACTTCGAAGTATATATATATATATATATCGCCCATAAGCATCTGGACATTCCTTTAGAACTGTTAAATAGTGATATAGAAAAAATTATGAAATGTCAATAAACTTAAACTAAACACTAATAAAACAAAATGAAAATTAGGCTCATGATTAATGATGAAAAAATTGGAGTAGTCGAGTCATTTAAATATCTTGGTATATATGTGGATAGTAAGCTACTGTTTCACGAACATTATGAATACATTATTCCAAAAATATCGAGAAAGATAAATTACTTCTATACAGTTTCCCATAATATTCGTATGTATTCCAAAAAAAATGTGTAAAACACTATAATTCTCCATTTTTCATATTGTTCAACCATCTTGTTTACAGCAAATGAAAACATATTTTCAAAATTACAAATTCTACGAAATAAAGCTATGAGAATCATTTTAAATCTAAACAAATATGCTAGGATTAAGTCTATGTTAGAAGAACTGCAGTGGTTGGATGTGAAAATTTTCATATATTATTTAGTTCTCGTTTTCATATTCAAATTAAAAAATCATTTATTATTTAGAGATCTTCACAAAATTAAATAGTCATCATCATAAGTACGAAACTAGAGGCAGCATAGATTTTCATCTGCAAAATTGTAATAGTAGCATAACTAGTAAATCTATATTTCAAGAGTTCGAATTTAAAAATGTTTAAGGTGAAATTAAAAAATCACTTTATGAATAATTAAAATACATAGTGACGTAATTTTAATTTCAATAGACAAGAATGTAAAATTACAGAAAATGGATTGAAGAAAAATATGTAACCGAATCATTATACAAAATTGACATTGTAGCATTAATGCTAAATTGATCTTCAACAACAAAAAAAAGCCACTGGCAGTTGGTTAGTCTTTAGATGTAACCTATACATTCATGGCCAAACCTAGTATTAGTCGGTTGCATTCGGTGAAAATTAGGGCCAACCAATTTGATCCCGGCAACACCTAGGCTAATCCTTACTGGTTAAAAGTAGATGTAAACGTTACAAGCAGGTTCTGACAGGTAGCACGGTGGCGGCCCGTCAACTCACGTTCATTCGCTGTGGGCGGCGGATACTCTGCTTAGTATCAGTCGTAACATAGATAGATGTATGTACGCGTACGTATATTTGAAGTATCAAGTTCGCGCTCGCATTGTGATTTAAAATAGCAATGTTCGAAGAATCCGAATCTATGAAATCAAGCTTTTACTAAGAGCTTGAGCTCATATTGACTTCGAAACAAGGCGATAACCGTTATATGAGTAATGAACAGAATTTGAAGTATATCGAAGACGTCAAAGCTGCAAAAAAGCCACGAAACGTTCGACTTTACAATATCGCCGTTTGGAGCGTTTCGACGTGTGTTGCATTGGTGACATCGAGAAGTTAATTGCTCCTTTATCCAATGTCGAAAATACCGAGGACCTCAAATACTACGTCAAGAATCAAGGCCTGTTCAATGTCCTTCATGAAATACACGTGAACATTGAACACGGCGGGAGAAATACGATGATTGTAGAAGCTAAGAGCAAGTACGCAAACATCACTCACGAGGCTGTCCTTATTTATCTTCGTTTTTGTAAGTCAATGAAAATTCTTAGAGATGCAAATTTTGTTTTTATTCCAAATATTTGTATGTTATGTAATTGTTTAGTTTTTTATAAAAATGTAATTGTAGCAATCATGCTAAATAAATCTCAAACAAACAAACAATGTCAAATGAAACAAAATTCAATCAAAAAAGGTCTTATGGTGAAACCCATTTTATCTAATGAGCTGAATAGCCGTTGCAAGGTAAACTTGATAGATGATATCTCCTGACGAAGTTCGTACTGCTACGCCCTTTACAAAGATTATATTTTATATTTTGCGTATTGGGATCACCATCTATATTGCAATCTGATAATATTCGGGAGGTCGTTAACCGAGTTGTGGGAAATTTAAGAGAAATGTGGCCAGGTCTAAAGATTGTGCATTGGAAGCCGCGCCATAGGCACTCTCAAGGTAGCGTAGAACGTCCAGTCAAGATGCCGAAAAGATGCTCATGGTGTGGATGACCGATGAAAATTGTCGAAAATGGTCTGAAGGACTAAGATTCGTTCAACTAATGAAAAATATAGCATATCATCATGGAATTGAAAGATCGCCCTACCAAGCAATGTTTGGTTGTGGTGCTAAAGTTGACTCAATGTCATCAGATCTGCCTCTCGAAGCAAACGAAAAGATCGAGAATGGGGAGGATCTGAAGAAAATACCTCAACAGTTGAAAAATAACGAGGTAAATAAGAGAGAAATCGAATCCCATGGAAATGAAATTACAGGAAAAGCAGTTTGCCAGCTTTGTGACCAGAAGGGAGGTGAAAAGTGTGACTTGTGCAAAAAGAAACATAAAATAGACAATAGTAGGAAAGGTGCGAAAATGTCTTTAGTATTACAGGCTAATAAAACGACAGCGTCTTCAAATGAAAAGTTTCATTAAGAAGAAAAATTTCCAATATCAAAAATTAAGAATCTGATATAGCCCCAACCTTTGCAAAAAAAACTGTCTTCCTTTTCTCACCCTGTATAAGTGAATAAATATAAAAAATATATCGGTCTACGAGTTCTCAAAAAGTTGGTTAAGAACCTCCCGAATACTGCAACTCGATATCTCTTTCCGTTCCGAAAATATCGAGATTTTAATTTCGGTAAAATTTTCCATGTTGCAAAGCAACTGTCCCATTTGTAAAAATGATAAGGGATTAACTACACATGGGAAGCTCTTCATCAAAAACTATGATACTTTTACTAAAACAAAATTTTGCTATAGAGTCATCACGTGATCTATTTGCAGCTGTGGAATTTTCTTTCATTTTCTCGATACTCTGTAGATTTGAAGTAGAAAGTATTGTGACCTTGCGTACATATAAAACTAGGAAGTAAAATATTCGGATGTGGATGAATTTTTTACAAAAATGCCAAAATTGCGAACCTTAGGTTTTTAAAAAACAATTTAGTACTGAAATGAAAAAGGAAAATGTTAATTTCTCTTTGAAATATACTAAGTGACATATAAATCCGAACACCCAGTTTAAATGGTATTATTTTAATAAAATTTTGTATAAGTACTTAATGAAGCATAATAAGTAAATGATAAAAATTTCAAAATGATTGCACTGCTTTAAAGAACTTTGACCTTTAATAATGTGTGGATGGATGCACCCTGATGTGCTACGCATTCTCCAACGCGCCTAGGCATGCTTCTGATCAGGTGGTCAATGTCCTCCTGTGGTATCTCATTCCAGGCAACCACCAACTCCTCTCGAAGTGCTTCTAGAGTCTGAGGAGGACGTTGCAAATTGAGCAATCTCCTACCCATCATATCCCACACGTGCTCAATTGGGGATAAGTCGGGAGATCTTGGTGGCCATGGTAACAATGTGACATCATTATGTTGAAAGAAGTCTATTGTGACTCTTGCAACATGTGGTCGGGCATTATCTTGTTGGAAAGTTGGATCTGCCAGGGTGTCAAGATAGGGTAAAAGATGGGGTTCTAGAACTTCGTGGATATAACGCTGCGCGTTCATGTTACCTCTGATGAAGATTAAAGCTGACCTGGAACCATAAGCTATAGCACCCCAAACCATAACTCCAACAGTGTGATGAACATGTCTTTCAACAAAAAACTGTGGATTCCTCCTTTTACCACGTCGCCTTCTAACCCTGGCACGACCATCGTGCATGCCTAAACAAAATCGAGACTCGTCACTAAAGACAATACTGTTCCATTCCTGATCCCAGAGTGACCGTTGTCTGCACCACTCAAGGCGATTACGTCGGTGTTCTCGAGTTAAAGGGAGGACCCAGTGTGGCCGGTATGAAAACAAGTCAAAACTTCTCATTCGTCGGTAAACACTTCGCATGCCAATAGGTCTTCCGTGTTCTGCAAACCATTCAATTGCAATGGACCTGGTAGTGGAGAAACGGCCCCTTAAGGCCAATAATCTTAGGCGGCGATCTTCACGGTCTGTTGTTCTACGGCGACGTCCAGTGCCCCTTGCTCTTTGCGTACGGCCTTCTCGAAGCCATGCCTGACAACACCTAACCACAGTGTCTACACTTCTTTGCACTCTAACTGCAATTGCCCGAAAAAAAAGTCCAGCTTCCCGAAGTCCCGCTATACGGCCCCTATCAAACTCACTAAGTTGACGAAATCGTACAGGTCTCCGTACTCTAGGCATCGTTAAAAAAAAGCAGTATAAAAACCGGAATGTCCCACTGATACGGCTGAACATTTTTTCACTTGTTATTTACAGTATGATAAATACATTCACCAACTTTAATTAAAATAAAACCATTTAAACTGGGTGTTCGGATTTATATGTCACTTAGTATATTTAAATGCAAACATTTCATATTTGCGATTAGCTTGAACTTCAAGTTCTTTCACAGCCGAAAAACCTCCGTATGGACGCTCATCCTTTGAAAAATAAGAGCCATTTACTTTTGGAAAAACTAAATTTTCTGACAAAAATACTAACCTGGGTTAGTCTGATCAAGGAATTCAACTGCCTAGTAGTGATGGGTGTACAATCTCCTGTTTTAAATTGTTTCCTCAACGATAAATAAAATTCTTTTATAATTTCCTTTGCTTCGTCCGACAGATAAGGTTTGACATATTTTTGAGCATAAGCTATATATTTTCTGAATAGTGGATGTGGAAGATAATCTATGATCTCGCCCGTATTTCTCAAACGTTCTCTAAAAAGTGAAATTGACTACTTACTTTATGGGGAAAATGCTACGCGTTCAATATTTATTGTGATCAGTAGATATTCATCATAAAACATGATATTTATTGAACGCCTAGCATAGTACAGGGTGGCCAACTAAGAATCCGCGGTATTGTATTTGGGAACCTATCCATCGAAGAGGCTTGCGGCAAAAACAGTTATTACTAAAACGGCCAAGAGTAAAACCCGGAAAATATTTCCAAGTTTATAAAATGGCCGATAGGGGGCGTAACTGCAATCTTGAATCTAAAAAAGTGATGTTTCTGCGAATTCTGCTATATTAACCTAACAAACAAATACCGGCACGGGTATTATGTAAAAAACATACAAAACGTCAAAAAGCAATAAGATGTTATCTCGTAGACTGCAAACAGTCATTCCACGTTTGCTCACTAGGATCGTTGTGAACGTCCATCTATGGAGAAATCACTCAACTAAACTACACGCATTGGTGGTTGCATAAGTTTTGTGAGGCCGAGTGGTCTGTGTCTGAAGTTTTTATCTCTGAGAAGAAAGTTGGTTGAATAGCAAGATCGCATCTGGATGATTATGTGTATTGGTCTGCATGTGTATGAAATCAGTGATATTTGCTGTATGAGAAAATCATTACTGATTATGCTGCCAATGAAGTATAACTTTTAGCTGTGCCCGACGGGTCATTTATATGTTGTCCTTTCTAAAGACAGGTTATGTTCAAAGTTATAAATTACGAAAAACTTTGAGGAGAATTTTTGAAATTCAGCAATTTTGCATATGTAATTTCCAGAATGGATTAAAAAAAGTGGATGCGCAACTAATTTCTAGCTTTGAATCTCAATTAAGTGTATTTGAGACAAGAATCCAATGGAATTATCATCAACACATACAACTTACAGCTTAGACCTCCAGTAATGTTAATGAAGCAGATTTTACATCACATCAGACCCAAACACTGATATGCGAAGTCTCATGACGTTTAGGCAACACGTACAATAAGTGCTAAGACATCTTGTCGAAAACCCTACATAATGTCAAAAAAACAGTATAATGTCAAATAAAAATCCATATAACGTCACTTTTCAAGATACGTGATACCCGTGCCTGTCTTTAAAGTCGAGGATAATCTGAACACTTATTTGTTTGACAATTTTTGCTGTATCTCTAAAAATAAAGGTAATACGAAAAAACACACTGTATCTTCGAAGCGGCTGAGCCGATTTTAAAAAACTTTGGTTAGTTGAAAAGAGCTACTCTTGGAAAATATTAAATAACAGATTTGCATTGTTGATTAAACGCTTGGACATTATTTCGCAAAACTCCAACCTTCCATCAAAAACATACTCATTAAGCTCATGGAAAAGTTTTATCCTGCACGGGTGAAATTTATTGTCTTTCAAAATTCTTTGTACTGTTGAGTGTGTAAATCCTGAAAAAGTAGCCAGTCCACGAGTGCTTCGGGCATTGTCAAGTGCTACGTGTCCCAAAACTGCTATTTCTGCGGCATCATTTCTCTCATTCCAATATTAGACACATATCCAGTTTCTTGTTATTTCTACTCTTTCTTGAATTGAATAAGTCATTGTTCAGTATTTATCTCAACTAGGTAGGTAGAAACGAAAGACAAAGTTTTTCTATGATATACGATGACAATGACTGATGCTAAATTTTCTGGAATCCATGATTATTATTTTTTGCCGTGCATGCCATTATTATCAGTATTAAGTTAGTCGAATTTTATTATTAACTCAAAATGCTTCACAGCGATTGAAGATAGGTATAAACTTCATGGAAAATCTAAAAATTAAAAAATGGGGGTTTTCATTTAAAAATCTCACCCTCTATTATACGGTGATGGAAAGACGTTACCCTAGAAATCAAAATTGACGTGTCCAAGCGTTTTCCCCAAAATATACCCGGAGAGTCACAAATGGAGGTGCGACTTTTTCGTTGGGCCACCCTAGATAATTAAACATGGAGTTTTAATAGGACATATATTAAAAATTGAAACTTTTAGATAAAATCAATTACCTCAAGGAATCCTGCTCCATGTCTGATTCTTCGAAAGTATTTTCTTCAACGTTGGTTTTGATTCTAGCCGCTTTGTGTAGGCCAAGCACATGTTTTGATAACAACAAATCCATTTGCTAAAAAAACATATTAGTTTGCCATAAAAACATAACAAACATTTTTTTTGATTGTATTGAGAGACAAGCAATCCAAACATTCAGAGTATTCTTTGATACTGCTTCCTCTCTTGGGGAGATATTAGTATTTTTTGATATTACTCGTATCAAGTTAACAACTAAATTTTCCACTTTTAAATCTGATGAATTCGAAATGTCGGGTGTCACAATATTCGGTGGACATAGAGGTACCACGTATTTTTTAGACTCAAAATAAGTCGACTGGACATGAACAAACAACAAATTAATAATCAAAAATAAACTCAAACACTACCTACTAATTTAAACTTTATGAGGCTTGTAGTTAAATTAATCTGACACTGACATAACATCCCATTTTCTACTAGATGCCTACTAGATTTTAACCCTTGATGTAATAAGAAAAAGTTTAAGAAACCAGCTCCGAAAAACATTTTTTTTTCGCGAAAACTTTGCGCGATGTCCTGTTTTTATGAGACAAAATCGATGTAAATAAAAGGATCTTTTAAATAAAAAAAATCAGTCGTTTGGGTTTTTTGCAAAAGTCAAATATTTAAACGTCTACAAAGCACACGTGTTCAAAATCGAACTAACGGTTCCAAAAATATCTGCAAAAATGTGTTTCAAAAATAAAACTTTGACGCCCTCTATCGGACAAACGAAGCACTTTTGCATAGAGGTAAATCATGTCCAATATACCATTTCTAAGTCTAAAAAGACATTTTCTAAAATCAATATACTACAACAGTCGTCGCCAACCCGTGGATCGCGAGTTACCGGTAGGTCGCAGAGGCAATTCTGGTGGCGCAGAACATATTTTACAAAGGTGTAAAAATCATAAATGTAAATTTTGTAAATTCTCATAATAAACACAAGCAGTGGCGACACTGCGGTGAGCGATCTGTTCGAGGACGATCTCGATTACTTTGAACGGAATAAATACGCAAGGCGCTGCGACAGTACGCTCAGTTTAAAACTGAACGGCACTAAGTCCAGTCATTATGAGCAGTAGTAAGAAGATGAAGACATACCATTGCCATTCGGTATGGGAAGAACAATATTTCTTTATTTTATATTTATAGAGGGTCCGCCAAAGGAACCTGACGTTTTCAGAATGGATAGTACGAAGCTGTTTTTTGACGTAGAACATCGGTTACAGTGGGCAAGACATCGGTAGTAGATGGCATTTCAGTAGTCATGGAGCTGTGGACAAGTGAACATCGCGCATTTGTTGTCGAGACGTATTTTAAAAATCACGACTCGGTGATCATTACACAGCGTCTATTTCGTACACATTTCAATGTCGGACGTCATGGTTCTGTTCCATGCCGTAACACAATTAAGTTGTGGGTCAAAAATTTTCGTCGATCTGCATCAGCAATGAAAGCCAAGCCACCAGGAATGCGTCGAACAGTTCGGACTCCAGCCAATATTGAGAGGGTGCGAACAGCGGTGCAGCAAAGTCCACGTCGTTCAGCTAGGCTACAAGCAATTAGTCTAAGGCTTTCAGAAACAACAGTGCGGCGTATTTTGCATAAGGATTTACATTATCACCCTTACAAATTAGCGATGGTTCAAGAACTGACAGCTGAAGACTTTGTGAACCGTTTGACTGCAACTTTTGGATGAAAACGCTTTAGGTGGCTTAATTATGTCTGATGAGGCGCATTTCGAGTTATCAGGCTACGTAAATAAGCAGAATTTTCGCTACTGGTGTGCAGAAAACCCGAGAGAACTTCACCAGCGACCCCTTCATAGTCGCAAGGTTACTGTTTGGTGCGGAGTGTCGCGATAATTGGGCCCTATTTTTTTGAGGACGATGCTGGAAATTCTGTCACGGTCAATTCGCAACGTGATCTGGGAATGTTAAACACATTTTTGGAACCAGAGCTTCGTCGACGGAACATAGACTTAAATACTGTATGGTTTCAGCAAGATAGCGCTGCAGCGCATACAGCACGAGCAACAATGGTTCGACTGCGAGAAATGTTTCCAGGAAGAGTCATTTCGCGGAATGGAGATGTTCCTTGGCCGGCAAGGTCTCCCGATCTCGCGGCTTGTGACTATTGGTTATGGGGTTATCTCAAAAGCAAGGTATATTTAACGAGCTCAAGGACCATTGAAGAATTGAAGGAAAACATTCGCAATGAAATTAGCGCGATTCCGATGAGTATGGTACAGCGCGTAATGGGGAATGTGCGAAACCGTTTGGAAGAGTGTGTCCGCAGTGAAGGACATCATTTGACCGAAGTTATTTTCCATACATAAAATGGCATGTAATACACTTTCGGTTACTTATATATGAAAATAAATATCTTGAAAGATACATTTGTAGTTTCATATTGAAACTCATCAGGTTCCTTTGCCGGACACTGTATATATTCCACTAAAAGGACAGACCACTGGGCAGGATTTGTTTTCTGCTTTTGAAAATATCATTTCTTCTGAGACATTTTCTAAAACTAAACAAAGTTATGAAATTGGTAGTAAAAATGGTGAACAAGATTAGACCTCAAGCGTCAGAAAGAAGATTATTCAAAACCTTGGCTCATGAAATTGACTGTCAATACGGGGAACTACTTCTTCACTCTGAAGTCAGATGGTTAAGTAGGGGACGAGTGCTGAAACGTTTTAATGATATCATATCCGTCATAGTTCAATTTTTCAAACAAGGTAATGAACCGATTCCGGAACTGGTAAAATTCAATCTGGCTTAGAGATTTTGGTTTTCTTGTGGATATTACAGAAAAATTAAATAAACTTAATTTCCAGCTTCAGGGGACAGACAAAGAACTAGCAGAAATGATTTCTTATATAAAAGCGTTTATCAAAAAGCTCGAGTTTAGGGAACAAAACTTAATCGATGGCGATACCAGGCATTCTCCTGTTCTTTCAGAAAAGATATCTCATAGTCGAGTAGAACTATATGACAGTAAATATCATGTAGAAATAGCCTCCAACTTGAAGGATAACTTCAAAAATCGTTTCAAGGATTTGAACGAAATTGCTATAGTGGCGCAATTTGTTGTTCACCCTTCATGGAAATTTATATCCAACAGTTTGCAACTTCTGTTACGCAGACTTTTAGCGAATACATCGCTGCGACAGATATGATTGCGTTTCAAAATGATTTAGCTTAAAAATCATTAGCCTCAAATACAAAATGTATCGGGCCTTCAGTAAGTAAAGATAAATATTCAGTTTTATGTCGTGTTGCCTTGAAAGTGAAAGCGTTATTTAGTTCAATCTATTTGTGTGCATTTTATTTTTCAAATATGAAGTTTATTAAAAACAAATACCGTAATCGACTTACAGATGAACATTTGGATAATTTTATTCGAATGGCGGTATCAAATTATACTCCAAACATTAAAAAAAAAAATGTGGGTCTGAGTGTCACGGTTCTCATTGAATACGTATTTTTTTGTTTTTGTTTAAAATCGTGTGCTGCTTTTTTATTTTTAGTTACGTTTATTAAATTGTATGTGACATGCCATTGTAGCTGACGAAAAATTTTGTTTATTTTTCAAACACCTACGATTGGTAGGAATGGATGTAGTATTAATATTAGTAAAATAATTACATGTATGTTCCATACAACTGTGTATAATTTCATTTAAGTTGGCTTACATTGCTTACGACTACGTAGCTCAGTGTTTATTCCAAAATTATCAAAGTAGCTCAACACACTGAAAAGGTTGGCGACTACTGTACTACAAGATTAAATCTACAGTCACAGTTAAAATGGAATAATGCGTACTTTAAAGGGAAAGTGGCAATTTATATTAAAACATTGTGAATACAAAACGAACATCAAGGGCAAACGGAAAAAGACAGACTGCACGTACCTACATCTAATCATCGCTAAAGTCCAACAAAACGTGCGTTTCTCGTGTACAAAATGCATCAAATTCGGATAAACGTGCTCTGATAAAGATGGAAACAAACGTTTTTGGTATGAATGAATGAATGAATGAAACTTAAAATTAGAGGCATCCCAGCCACCATAAGGAGCCAGTGCATAGGCCGCTTAAGCGGGCCCTTATACACCTCTACAATCCTTAAATCACAAGCCTCGCCCTTTTAGCGAAGTTGAGAATCGCCTTGAGTCCAAGCTCCTTGACGTCCTGAGGGTCCAAAGTAATGAACCCCAGTATAGTCTGCCTATAGTAGCTCAGAGCTTCACAGCGACACAAAACGTGCGCCGAGGTCCTTCCTCTACTCAGCAGCGTTCGCACAAGGGATCCTCAGCCACCCCCATCACGTGCAGGTGACGCCTTAACGTGTTATGGCCAGACAACAGTCCCACCAGCAACCTTAGGTTGGCTCTACCCAGAGATAGGCAGAAGCGTCCATCCTTAGCACTGGGCCCTTCAATGAGCTCTCGTGCCTGGCGGAGATGTCTAGAGATACTTCTCCATTTCTGAGAGTGTTGTCTTGCAACCCACGTCTCCATTTTCCTCCTAGCTTTATGCGCGGTCACTCCTAGAGCTGGCTCAGGACCAACGAGCTTGCTGGCTGATCCTGTTTTCGCCAGAGTGTCCGCCGTCTCATTGCCCCTTATCCCAGCGTGCCCCGGTACCCATATTAACGATACCGGATGCCTCGCGGCGAGGCAATCCAGAGCCTCCCTGCATTGCAATACAAGACTCGAAGTAATCTTATAGGCACTTAGTGCTTTCATTGCAGTCTGGCTGTCGGATAAGATTGTTATTCTTCTCCTAGGCCCACCCTCCTCCAGAATGTGAGATACACAAGCCAGTATCGCAAAGATTTCCGCCTGGAAAATGGTGGTGTATCCACCGAGAGGCAGAGATAGCCTAGTTCTAGGCCCAGAGACCCCAGCACCTGAGCCCTCTTCGGTGACCGAGCCGTCCGTGTACCAGACCTGCCCGCTCACTTCGGAGAGTCCCCGGCTACCGGCGTCCCACTCCTCCCTCGTTGGATACTCCACAATAAACTTGCGGTTGAAGCGATATTTA